GCCTTGAGCTGAAGAGCTGAGGGACAGCGCCCAGGCCCAGAGTTCAAGCCCCATAACTGACACACAAAAAAAAAATTGTACAAGGGAGATGAAAAGAGCTGGGGTAAAGGAGCAAAAATAGAGAAAGACTTGGAAAAAAGCACTACTTTCCATATATATATATAATATTATCTTTTGCTGGCCCTGGGGCTTGAACTCAGGGCCTGGGTGCTGTCCCTCTTTGTGCTCAAGGCTAGCACTGTACCATTTGAGCCACAGTGCCACTTCCAGCTTTTTCTGAGTAGTTTATTGGAATTGAGTCTCTCAGACTTTTCTGCCTGGTTGGCTTCAAACTGTGATCCTCAGATCTCAGCCTCCTGAGATTATAGACATTGTAGGCATTATAGGATTGTAAACCTGAGCCTCTGGCACCTGCCTGATGCTCTACCACTTGAGCCTTTTTGGGAGTTAATTGGAGATAAGCATCTTAATGGACTTTCCAGCCTGACCTGGCTTCAAACTTCCATCCTCAGACCTCAGCCTCCTGAGTAGCTGAGATTACAGGTCTGAGTCACTGCTGGGGGGCCTGGCTTACTTTCCCTAATGTGTTTCAAACTCATAGTGGCAAATGAAATTCTTCTCACTGTGGGTGGAGGGGTGTGGCCTGGCCTGCCAGAGTCCTTGCCTCTGAGGTTCTTTCTGTGGCTCACTCATCTTGGTGGCCAAATCTCTGGGTGCAGACTGGAGGGGGGGGTCCTCCATGCTGAGCTCAGCCTCCTCTTCCTCCTCTGTTCCCAGTTGCAGGAAAGTAAGAAGGGGGACTCCATGTGAGTCACCAGCCGCCCCCCTTCTCCCCTTCCCCCGGTTCTGGCTGGGTTTATTCAGACTGTTGATCAGAGGTTTCTGGTTCCTTCACTGCTCAACCCATGACAGAGCAGCTGGCTCCCCCCCCAACTCCTCCCCCACAGTGAGCGCTGATGAGAGAGTGTGCAGGCAGGCCAGGGGCTCCGTGCCTTTGGCAACCCAGCCCCCTCTGAATTTGCCCACCCTCATTTCCACATCATTTCTGCTTCATTTTATCTGTTGGAAGAGAGCCCAGCTCACATTCAGAGCAGAGAAATTAGCTTCCAGTTTTTTTGTTTTAAAGACAACGTCTCCCACAGAAATGGAGGGATAAAGGGTGAACAGATGCAGCAGTGGTACTAGACACTATATGGAAAATTATACAAGCTGTGGGTGGGGAATGAGGGGGAAAAAGTGGGAGAGAGTGAGCGAAGGGGGAGACATAGTCCAAAAAGACATGCAGTCATTACTTATGTAACTGAAACCCCTCTGTATATCACTGTTATAATAACAATAAAAAAATTAAAGCCAGGCACTGGTAGCTCACGCCTGTAATCCTAGCTACCCAAGAGGCTGAGATCCGAGGATCATGGTTCAAAGCCAGCCCAGGCAGGAAAGTCTCCATGAGACTCATCTTTAACTAACCATTCAAAAAACCAGAAGTGGCACTATGGCTGAAAGTGGCAGAGTTTAAGCCTTGAGCAAAACAGCTCAGGGACAGCAGGCCCCAAGTTCAAGCCCCACAACCGACA